GAGAATTTTATATATGCAAAAATGAATTAATAAAACTTTGAAGCCACGCGATGAAGCAAACTCGCTCGCATATAGATGCTTGCGTGAAGCAAACATGCGATAAGCCCACCTATCCCTTTTTCATATTTATTTATCTCGTGATTTTGCCACAACAAAACTCATGCCTAGCTCAATGTTTTTTTTAATTATTATTATTATTATTATTATTATTATTATTATTATTATTATTATTATTAGTATTATTATCTCCTTCGGCTCTCTCAATTTATATTTTCTACACGTTGTTAGGCTGATCTAACGATTGGTTATTATTTATTAGTTTATTTTTTTCAACAGATATGTACACTTTCATATTGAAATGTTATACCTTAATTAAAAATAATTAATGTTAAAAAAAAAAAAGTATGTCATCACTTAACAACATTGTATGTATTTTTTATTAGAAAACCATGACGGGTCGATCTGCCTAATCGTTAGGTCGTCTCACACAAGAATTTGTCGTTTTCAATGACATGCAATGCACATGTACTTAAGAAATTATGTACACATCTGTATGTATGTATATGTGTATGATTCTACATGATTGTATCAACACATATTTCTAATATCTCATAGGATGAAGTTCAACTTGTATTGAAAAGCGTCTAAATTAGAGATATATATGTATAAAAAGTAAATAGTCGTTACTCGTTCGCGACTCAGGATGTGAACAAGTAAACGTCGATATTTTTTAGAAAAAAAAAATCGAGTTGTGGCTTTGAGTTATATGGGAAAATGTGAACCTAGGAAGAAAAAGGGGTTTTGTAAAAGGGGGAGTTTATGATCGAGGCATCATGTCCATAAGATTGTCAACATAAATTTGGCCATAACTGCGTGTTTTAAGCTTTCTAGAGAGAAGGCCAAAAAATATACAGTATAATATTGCATCATGATGTCCATTTTTCACTCCCTCTCTCTAGATTTTGTTGCTGAATAAATAGACTTTTTTCGTGAGGTAAAATGACTAAAATGGGCCTTGGCACCAATTTATTTTTTATTTAACTTTTATATATTATA